TTGCGAAAGCATGACAGATACCTTTCTCCTCATTGCTTTTTTTTGCTCTTTTCCCCGTCGATTTTGAAGAGCTTCTTCGCTTCTTTGCTGAGGTGACCTTTCTGCCCTTATCTTCCGGTTTTTGTAAGAAATGAAGGACATTCATCACCTTAAATAAACTGCGTGAAATATCCTCTTATTTTGTAACAAAATTTCCAATCACGATTTCCTCTTTATGAATTAATATAGCTTTATATCGCGCAAAATGTAAGCTGTTATTTAATAAATATACTTACTGCTTCTTCTTTTGTATGTCCTCTCTCGGAACCCAATATCCTTCCAATCATATGTATCTGAAAAGGTAAAAACTTTATTCATTGAAAAAAATTTTTTACTATTTTAATAAATTTCTCAGTAATGATAAATAATAGTAGATTGCTTTCAAGAAAACCCGTGATTACTGTCATGCAGATTTCAGTTTTAAGAACCGACCACGAGCTTCTATCGGAAAGCTACTGTACTATTTCAACCTATCAGTTGGACGTCTGTGCATGGTGTACAAAATCTTTATGCCATGAATACCAAGTTTCTCAAGTTATTAAAATTCCTGACTGAGCACCTCATTATTTGTAAACTTCATTGCCGTTGCCTTCTTCTTGTCGAAATCAGCACTCTTTTCATCAAATGCAAAACCGTTAAATCTTCTAAGATCTCTTTTTCTTGACGTTGCTGTCCCAGGTGTGCCGTAACATAGCCTGTGAAGCCATTTTAATGTCTCATTTTGCGCTTTAGAAATGCCATTATTCACTAAAAAATGAAAAGTATTAAACAAAATATCAAATAAAGAAGAAAATGTCAAACTCACAAACAAGATCACTAGGAAAAGTACTAAAATCTCGATATTCCTAAAGTTATATTTTCCTCCTAGAGAAAAATATAGACGCGCGAAAATAGTTAAATAGTGAAAGTTGACATAAAAGTATTTGACATCTCACTGCACCACCCTAATTACAACATTCTTGCAATTACCACAATTTCAGCAGTGCTCTCTAAACAAAATTTACCGAATTCAATGTCTCCAAGAGAAGTTCCTGACCCAACTGCGTCCAGGGATGTTTTCCTTGAAGATGGAGACGAAACTGCTGCTAATCGTTCCACTGCATGGCGCTGTCTTTTTCCCTCTCTTACAACTGGCTCATCAAGGAGACCTAGCAAAGCAGTCTATTATGTTCATAATTTTAATAGAGAAGATTCGTATATAATTTCATACTTATAACCAGCATACTAACTTATCATCATCATTATAACAACTGTCTCAACTCAACTATAATGACCATCATGTTCGATCATTGTCCTAAAAACGAACCTCTTTTTATAGGTTTCGGTTTTTCTTCTCTGACCATTCCTGTGGTTTCCTCCATATCATTACCAGTAGTATTCATTTCACTGCCACTTCTGTTCAGATTTTCAGTAAATGATTCTGATATTGCCTCTTCCTTTATTTCAGTGCTTCCTTCATTCTTTCTTTCAACATTCATTTCATCTTTTTTAACATCTGCCACTGTCCCCTCTTCTTTTCGACCATCAACTATTTCCTCTTCAATACCTTCATCTTTCGATTTCTCTTCCTTTTTCGTCTAAAATAACCAAGAAGTAAACCCTAATTACTGCAATACAAATATAGAACAAAATGGTAGTAAAAAAATTATACTTGGGAAATGCATAAAAACATTCCGTACCAAAAAAAAGTAAATAGATTTCATGCTGTTCATAATTTTATTTATGAAGTCTTATCCAAAATGATGAATAAACACATTCTTACCCGATCGTTAGCTTCTTCTTTATATTCATCAGCCATTGACGTACATACGACTTATTAAGACTACCTCGCAAACTGCAAAAACATGAGTAGACGGAATTAGTACGAAGAAAAAGTTAAATTGCTCTATCATGGGGTTACCAGTAATTATAATGTATAAATAGTGGTAAATAGAAAAGGAGCAAAAAATAGCGAAGTGTCTAATAGCCAATCTCAGATATACCACAATCTCACATATCACAGATTAGAATCACCCAGCCCTACCAATTGAACACCACAACCACACCCTCACCTCCCGCCAACCCAGAACATTTTAAAACTAAGACCCGCCCGGATGGTCACACCAAAACCAACATCTCATCGTGGCACATTCTCATACAGCTCACCACCGACTCGATATGAAAAGCTTCAATCCACGGAGTATTGTGATAATGCCATGTAGCGTAGACTTAATGCTAGCACATAGCTATGGACGTATGCATCGTCGTCAAAGCGTGTAATTTTGCAGCTGAACGTCATCGCTTACAGAGACGGAAAGATGCTTTGCAGACGCCTTATATCAATCATCCTATCGGTAAATTAAACTTTGCTTATTAGAGTTATTTAGCTTGCAAAATATTTAGAGTTAGAATAGAACAAAAGTATGAAACTGATTATAATTGACCGCAATTATGCTATTTCAAGAATATTTCATGTCATTTAGTCTTTTGCAAGCATTTCAGTATGTTTTCATCGTCATTGTTGCATTTATCTTCACATGTAATATTTTTCTATTTCATTTTTTTTTTTCTATATTTGTATCTTCTGTATGTTAAGTTAAGACGCATAAAATTTTTGATTAGGATTTATACTTCGAAGAATTTGTTTTAGGTGTTGCGAACATATTATCCTCAGAAGTTGGTGTGACAGACAGTGCGACGATTGCAGCAGCACTGTTGCATGATACTGTTGAAGATACATCTACTACTTTCCAGGAAATCAGTAGTTTATTTGGTGAAGAGGTGCTTTTCTCTCGAAACTTTTTGTGGTAGCTCAAAGAAGAACATTTGGTACGAGATTATGATCTGTTGATCTTATTTTCTATTTTCAGATTAGTCAAATCGTGCAAGAATGCACCGATGATAAAAGTTTACCAGCCTCTGTACGGAAGCAGCTACAAATTGAAAATGCGGCAAAACATTCACATAAGGTTAATTTATAATTGAACATGAGAGAGCAGAATAGGAAGGAAGCTGAATCATGTATTTATTATTACTAATTATTCATTTTGATTGTATTGTATATTTTACATTTTTTTGAGATATTCTTGTTCTGGAAAGGATTTGTCCTTCATTAGTGTAAAACCAAATGCTTAACTTATGTCCTTGAATACAAAACCAAATCCTGGAGATTTACAGCAGAGGATATTGAAATATAAAGTGAAACGTAGCATCTCGAATTTTACTATTCTTTGTCTTTTGTTCAGCGTCTTGATGGTGTTAGTTATGTGGACCATATGAGGCGTAGTTTTATTCGACTGAGTTTCAAAAACATAATTTTAAGAAATTGTTCTTGTGTTAAGCAATTTCGAGGAAAAGCAAAATATGGCAATTTATACTTTTCACCAGAATGTTGAAGAAGACATATCATCTTAAGGGTGAGAATAGAAACAGTGAGTCGATCATTAGTATCACAGAGAAAAATGTGCAACTATTGTAAGAATTAAATAGGGTAGAACAACGCAGTCTAGTGAGATATAACTACCGGAGAGTGTAGATTTGCACATACGTAATATGTAAACATACAAGGGAAAATATTCTGTGCTAAGTACTTTTTTTAAAAAAGAAGTCGAAATTGAAACTGAATGAAAGTAATATTATTTGAGCATTAAATAATGTGTGATCCCAATAATATGTATACACTGAGCAGGAATTATTGATTGTCATGTTATGCAGTTCTACAAATACAATCTGTTGTAGGCAAAATTAATTCACCTCGCCGATAAACTGTATAATTTGCGGGATTTGGAACGTGAGACACCAGTTGGATGGAGTACACAAAGGGTAAAAGAATATTTTATATGGTCGAAAGCAATTGTTTCAGAATTAAAAGGAACTAATGAAGCTCTGGAAGTCGCCCTTGATGATGTCATTAATAGGTATTTGTACAAATGAGATTAAACAAAAGTTTACGGGCTAAAAATCTTATCATAACGTTGTGATAACATAATTTAAGACATTTATTCGTTCCTTATTTTGATTAATCATTACTGATTAATATTATCAATGAAATTTAAAATTACATAAAATATTTCTGGTATACTTCTCCATAGTAATGTATTATCATTTATCATACTTTCCATTTCTCATAAAATCATTTGTGCCGAGCAATAAATATAGATAAAATTTAAAAACATTTAAAATTTAAAAAAAAATAATAATTTTTTAAGATTTTTTTTTTTTAGGCTTGACAATATTTTGCAATATCCCCTTTTTTTGCAAATGATATTATTCTTGCTATTGTTTGACAAGATGTTCTAGACTACTCCTGTCGAGAAGTTCTAGAGATTTGTTAGAAGGAGTTTTCTTGGTTGTGATTTGGAGTTTGTAATGACGAATGTGTTCTGTAATAGTATCTGTTGCAACAAAGTTTATTCGCTAACAACTACATTTCACAAAATATTAATTAAAACATTGACAATATGCTGATAATTTCATAGAGATGTTACTAAGAGTATTTGATGAGATGAAAGAAATAAACGGATGCAAAAAAATAAATTTGAAATGAGTGCACGGAACCAGTCAAAGCGAAAGATGTGAAAACCTTCAGGAGAAAAGATTAGATACAATGTTTGAATGTGTCGGTTTGGAGCATTTCTGGTTCGTACAGTGATAGGCTGTTATTGTTCATCGACTTCCAAAACTAATTTGTCGAACTCAGTTGGTCAAATTTTGAATTTCCTTTGCTTCTAAAAGGTATAGCATATTCACTGGTCAATTGAGGGGTTTTCTATGTGGTAATTCTATTGAAGCACCTCTTAATTCTCTATCTCTTTCTTTTATAATTTCTTTTATCCTGGCTAATTTCCACACACCATGGGAACTACTACTTATTGTGGAGTATTGAGCATTTATCATGCAAAAATCTAATTCGTCATCCATTATGCAAAAATCTAATTCTTATCAATATAAAAAAAAATGATTATAAATGAAATTTTGTAGTAATGAAAGACAGGCTCGCTTCGTCGATCGTTGATGTTTTACTGCAACGAGCTAAAGCAAAATATATGAATATGGCGAAAGTTGACATGCTGTCAGCTTTAAGACACTTTCCTGGATTCAAACCGAACGTGTTTAATCACATTTATCCGGACTACACGTGTTCAACTGCATTTTGTCTGGAGGGCGCCATTCCTGTTTGTCATACAGTTTGTATCAATTTAAGAGCGTTCCTTACTTATTTTGTAGACGGCTTGATTGTTTTAGTCACTCACTCCATTTTGGTATTATATTGTGTCACACACTATTTTGATCTCTCTTCTATCTTTCATTTCATTTACATTTACATTTGCTCTAGTCCTCATTTTGTAGTTGTTTTTGTTAATTTAAAAAAATTTTTTCTCAGAGTAAAATAGACAACTTACCGGTGGCAATATATCTCCGAGACACTCATCCTTACAAGGCGCCAACATGTTACGTGTGTCCAACGACGAATATTGTACTGAGGGAATCCGACACAGTGGATGAGTTAGGACGCATTTCTTCAACATATCTTCGTAATTGGACCTTTCCAGGAAATCATTTAAGTGGTTTATTACAAGTAATTTTTTATTCACAAGAATAAATGTTTGGGGAAGCAAAAAAAAAGGTATTCCTTAACAAGAAAACCATAAAATTCGCATTTTTCCAGGTTATGATGGATGTACTTCCAAAATTTCTGCCCAGTGATTCAGAAACTTAACATCTATTATGTGCATGGCTAATCTAGATCCTGTGTAAAACTTTCTGTGACAATACAAACTTTTACACTTAAAATCTGATGTTGAAATAAAAATTTTTCATTCTCTAATTTGTAATTACAGTTACCGCAGTACGACAACTGTAATTCCTATTCTATACAGTAGTTTTGATCGCAATCATTAGGGTCAATCGATTTTTTTAGCTATGGAATTCCAGGAGATGGCTTCCTGAATTCGTGCTAAGTAGCATATAAATCTCCGAAAAGAAATTCACTAAACTGATCATCGAAATAACAGATCAAACTATCAGTAGATTATTATTATATTTAGATGAGAATTTCTCATAGAATTGGGTCTTGCCCAAGTTTTTGTATGTCGCTTTCATTTACTGGATGACAATTAGATTTTTGCATGATAAATGCTCAATACTCCACAATAAGTAGTAGTTCCCATGGTGTGTGGAAATTAGCCAGGATAAAAGAAATTATAAAAGAAAGAGATAGAGAATTAAGAGGTGCTTCAATAGAATTACCACATAGAAAACCCCTCAATTGACCAGTGAATATGCTGTACCTTTTAGAAGCAAAGGAAATTCAAAATTTGACCAACTGAGTTCGACAAATCAGTTTTGGAAGTCGATGAACAATAACAGCCTATCACTGTACGAACCAGAAATGCTCCAAACCGACACATTCAAACATTGTATCTAATCTTTTCTCCTGAAGGTTTTCACATCTTTCGCTTTGACTGGTTCCGTGCACTCATTTCAAATTTATTTTTTTGCATCCGTTTATTTCTTCCATCTCATCAAATACTCTTAGTAACATCTCTATGAAATTATCAGCATATTGTCAATGTTTTAATTAATATTTTGTGAAATGTAGTTGTTAGCGAATAAACTTTGTTGCAACAGATACTATTACAGAACACATTCGTCATTACAAACTCCAAATCACAACCAAGAAAACTCCTTCTAACAAATCTCTATTTGACAAATAATAAAAGTAAGAATATCGTAATGAATTTTGAAAAGAAAAAAGAAAAAAACAATTAAATGAAACAATCAGAATGCAAAATACAGGGATACATTTTAGATACATCTTACCGATTCACCAACAGTTCCTAAGTTCGCAATATCAAACCAGATATCGATAAAGATGGGCAGTCTAAAGGCTTGAAGAAAATATAGTCAAGTATTATACATTTGCGAGATTAGAAAAACCATTTGTCTTTATTATGATCAGTATTTGTGACCTGGAATAGCTGCAAAGCGTGCTTTGCAACATGCTGATTGATCTACTGTTGAAGGTTCCTGCACTCGATATTCTTCAGTACACCGATCACATATCATTACCGTTGTTTCCGTTCCCATTTCATAGATACTAGCTCGAGCTTTATCTGGATGTTGTCCCGAATAATTAAGTATTGTAGAATGAGGAAGCAATAAACCTAGAAAAGAGGTTCAGTCCACAAAAGAGAAATTTAAAAATTTAATTAGATGCAACTGCTAAAGAACTTTTGGAAGATCTCTGGAAAAGAAATTAAAGCTACCTTTCAGTTGTAATACAGTATAGCAAAAATAAAACAAAATTTTCAATCTTAACCTGTGTTAAACATTAATGATAAGAAAACTGGAATAAGGAAAAGTTTGAAATGCTATATTCAACTACTTATTGAAGTGCAACATCAAATGAACAGAGAAGTGATATTACGAAGATCGTTCCGTATTAGATAAGTGAGAAACAAAATATTAACTTCCTAGGTAAAACAAATGAGTAAATCATTTGCAGATATGCCTTTATTTCAATCTGAACCAATGACTTTTCGTGGCAGGAAAAAAGAAAGAATTATTAACTGATAGAAGACAGAAGTATTCGATAGAAGTACTAATACCATTCGTTCTTTCTTGATAACTGTCTTGTTTTATGCGACGATTTTCCGCTTCCAGTTCTTGTTTTGCCTTACGTAAATCGTTCACTATTTCCAGCAAACCAGCATTTGTAAATATTAACTTGCTATTTTGCTCCTCCAATGTTGCCACACGTTGCCTGAGATTATTAACGTCATCTTGCGCCTGCGAATCTAAAACGAAAAAGGTGTTTCATAGCGAAAAAAAATAATACTATCCTGGTTATTATGCTCTTATCACTCAATAGAAAGAAATGTTTTATTAAAGAATGAACATTTCACTACTAGCAAAAACAACTCATATATCATCTTACTTTTTTTATTTGTTGGAATAGATAAGACAACAACTACAGCTTACAGATAAAAGCACCTAAAGACATGGATGAAATTATTGGGAGAATGTCAAAGAATTATCAGTATTACAGGATTTACTTAATGGCATAGCTATTATTCAATTACAGAATTTATCCGAAAAAACTATTGTTTACGGAAACTATTGCTTACTAAAGCACCATAAATTTTCTAAAACTTTATTAATAAGAAAATTACGCAAGTGCAACCAATATGATAGTATACCAGGTGATTTTTTTCGAATCGATCGAGCATTATAAACCTGTTTCCTATCTCGAAGTGTCGCTTGTGCATCCATATTACCAGTCGAATCAACCGACAGCTCATTCCAAATAGTTGCAGGACTTTGTGAACCGATACGTTCCTTGATCTTGAGCAAAGTTGATGGATATGTCCTTATGTATGGATTCTGGCTATGCTTATTATTTCCGTGAGGACGTGGTTGCAAATTACAATTTTCCAAACATTTGTATGACAGGAGAGCATTCCCTGTTGCTCGTCCATTTCTGGTCAAATAACACAAACATTTCATTAAACCAAGAGGTGGATCCGAATGAGGATGGCTGCCGTACTTTTTCCTTATGACATAATATGGATTTTTTGTGTCCGGAACACCTGCAGCATTAACTCTTATGCTTTTACACGTTGGTCTTCGTACAGTACCAGCCCATGAACCTATAATTTAACTAACATTGCTAAGTAGCATAGAAGAATAATATATTGAAGTCTTAATTATTTAGAAAGCGCATACCTAAATCAAATATTGAAATTTGGAATTATCCCATAATCTACTTCGCAAAACGAAAAAGATTCTAAAAGTGCTATAATGACAAGAAAATGAAAGTACTATTTAACATAATTATTACAATCAGTTATTCCAGAATAAATTTTCTGTTTTTTTAATCTTATTTATTTTATGTTTTTAAGTATATGTTGTTCTAAGGCACAAATGGAAATGTTTCTTCTATATAAATACGCTAAAAATAAATGTGTGCAGAGTCTTCAATTTTTTGCAGTAATATTCTCACCAATTATCTTCGGCAAACGTATATAATCCTTCAACTTGTCGCTTCGATAAAACAAAACAGTATATGACAAACATATGAAAAATTATTTAAAAAGAGACATACCTAAATTGTCCACCCAAAGATCTCGCTCGGAAATGAAATCTGTATCCAAAAGAAATGAAATTTCAAAAGGTTGACCATTTAAATAAATTTTCGGTAATCTTATATTCCTTTCCACAAAACTGAAAACAAATATCCAACGGTTAATTATGCAAAATATTTGATTCGATCCCGAAAACTACAAATCTGTATCAGCTGCATAAAACTTTAAAATACAATATAAAATCATTTGATAAGTACATAAAATTAGTTATTTTCTGATATTATCAACACTGTATCAATCTGCAGGACAGACAACAATAACAAGTGAGCTTCCGAAAAGAAGAAGCTCGACATAATAGCAAAAGAAATTTATTTCTCCAAAATGTTCAAAATACTCTATTCAACAACAAGAATGAACTGCTATTATCGTCTAAGATCAGTTTTGAGTAAATAAAAGAATATTTCTGAAGTAAGATTTAACACACCATATTTTATTGGATTAGAAAAAAAAAACTAAGGAATTTTAGAAGATGGAGTGATGTCAGAATATACGAACCTGAAAGTCAACATAGATAAATGAAATGACCTACGTGCTAATCATATCTTTGATTGGCAAATCTTTGATCTTCGATATGTACTTGTAACTATAGATAACACCATCGACGACAGGTAACGAACTGCAATAATTTGTGCACAGTTTGTTCATTAAAGAGAATCATGCTGATGCATGACTAAAATCTTTTGGAAAAACATTAATACATCATTAACAATTATGTTACACAGATATTATGAAAATGGGATGTGTAACCAAGCCACCTATAACTTCCTAAAATCTCCAGGTAACATGGCCTCAATGGTATTATAATACAAATATTTTCAAAACCACTGTTCATAATAGCATTAAAGAACTTATATATGCTTATTTTACAAATTTATGCAGCACCAGCTTTTAAAAAATAGAAATCTGGTGTAAAGTGTTGTGGTTTCAATATATGTAATTATAATAATTCTGCTAGCTACAGAAAAAAGTAAAGGAAGGAAGATAAAAATGCTCTTCAGAATCAACTTCTCTAAAGCTTATTTTAAATTTAAGCTAAACAACTAACATTCCGTCATCAGCACTTGTTGAAGGTCGACTTTCTGTTTCTGATTTCCGTTTCTCTTCTCGCCGATTTTCACTATCCCGCTTCCCGAATTCATCTGTGTCAGCAGGCATTTCGACTTCTTGACTCTGTGATAAAATTAACTGCTGCTCCATTCAGAACATCTGAAAACGAAAACAATTAGAATAAAACTTTCCCCAGTGATGACTGTAAACTGATAAAAGATAAATGATGTTTCTTCGAGATTTTTTTCCAAAGTAACTAAGCAATATAATACTTTCTTAAAAAAATCATTGGTCATTGCTGTTATATGTTAAATTTTTAAAAACCAACGATGCAATTCATTTGATATAACAAATAACTGCTGGTTCGGTTTCCGTGATGTAAACAAGAAAAAAAAGTCGATCAAAAGTCAATGAATAACCATAAGGTTTAAAATTTAAGCAACAAAATAAATCAACAACAACTGATCTGTTGCATTTAATCAAACTCGACAGTAACACATACTTACAGATCATCCAACCCAATCCT